AAAATGTTTTCCACTTCCTTTACAAAATTGAGGAGCAAAGAGACGACCGTCACTCGTTTGTTGTGATTCTATTTTCACACATCGCGATAGTTAGAAGTGTGTTACTATAGAGTTATCGAAACACAGCTTTTACACGCAGCTCTTCAGTTAGTCAATTCTAAGACAAGTGATTCACTTCCAAATTCTCTAAGTTTATACTGAAGAAAAGAACGATACAGCAACTATTGAGAAGAATCTATATGTTAAGCGTAGCACAACTCGTACTCACCTTTTTTCTTGCTGGGGTAAACCAGTTGATTCACAATTATGTTATGCGTATCGATTTCGGCCTTTGCAAGTTCTTGTACTAATCTCTCTGTCTCGAAAAGCGACAAAAACTCCGCTATGCACACACATACAAACGTTGTGTGATCCTGAAAACAAGCAAACACAAAACAAAGTTATCTATTTTAAATAGCTCGGTGAAAACTAATGCTGTTCAATAGAGGAGATGAACAAAAAAAACGGAAGAACGACCAAACGACGAAAGAACGAACAAAACGAATGGACGAGCGTACGAACGAACGAAAAAACGAAAAAACGCACAAACGAACGAACGAAACGAAATAACTAAGCAAACAAATGAACAGACGAATGAACGAAACGAAAGAACGGACAAATGAACGAAACAACGAATGTAAGAACCAACAAATAATGAACGAGCAATTAAGTGAGACAAACAAGTTTGACCATGTGTATAAAACGTAGTCAGCGTATTGAATATCACAACAGCGTAAAATTAGTGTGGGTAATCGAATGAATGCGAGTGCATATCCACCGTAGGAAAAAAGATGGCGGCTGTACATTTTACCACAATACCTTGCGAACCTAACACAGCCTATAAGGCACGAAGGAAGCCAAATTTTTACAATACTTGTTCCTATGCTGAGGACATTGTGTAGCCTAGGTATGAAGATTTTATAACTTTTCTGCACGTTTTTATGAGCGTTGTTAAGGTTTTCTTGCGCTAAGAACTATGGGTAAATGAACCAGTCGCCATCTTTTTTCCTACGGAGGATTAGGGATTTACACTACGAGTAGTGATATTTGAAAATTCTCTCAAAATTACACGAGCTTCTTAAAGAAGGAAATGTTACCAATCTTTTCACGAAAAAGTGTCATTACGGGTTGGTTATTAAGTGGAATCTGAAAACATGATCCAATTAGCAAAGCATGACAAAAAATTTGCTCTCTTTCCTTCATCCCTGCCTCCAGCCTGAAATTTATTTTTTATCATTCTCCACAATCTGAGACAGGTCAGTTTCTAAATCCTAAATGTGTGTTATCTTGTTATAGCGCAGAAATAATTTTGTATCGCGAGAGATTATTTTCTGTGATACATACCGGATTCTTAAACTGTTCACTGACTTGCCGAATAACAGGCATTGTGTCTTCTAACTTCTTAGTCATGTTATCTGCATTCATATCATGTATACCAAGCATCGCTCCAAACTAAACAAAAAACAAACAGACAAAAAAACCTTCAATTAGGCCCAGTCCACACTACGTCGGAGAAATTTGAAAACGCAGCTTTATTTCTACGGTTAGGCCCACCGTCCACACTAATCCGGCACGAAAACGGAGCTTTTCGAGAACGCTCTTCAAACTGGAGGAATTTGAAAACGCCGGCTTTGCATTTTAGTGTGGACGGACAACATTTTGAAAACGGAGCTTTTCGAAAACGATGACGTCACGATAATCACGTGATTTCCCTGACCGAGGTTCCCTCAAACACAAATCCAAAATGGCGGGTGATTGATGCGTTTTTCAAATTCCTCCGGCGTAATGTGGACGAAAACAATTTGAAGCGTTTTCATAGTGAAACCTCCGTTTTTGAATTCCTTCGGCGTTGAGTGGACGGGACTTAAAGGTGTAAATATAGCTCAGTCTAAAAAAAATGATTTGTTAGAATTAACAAATATCGTAAAACACTTACTCATATTTTCAACTTTAAGTTGAAATAATGTATCAAAGTTTGACTATGTTCCAAACACCGAGAAGAGAGTTGAAAATACGACGCGTAATGGAGTATATTTCACGAATTTCGAGGTGTTTGGAAATGTTTTCAGACACGATCTGGAGTGTTCGATAGATCTTCTCAATCGAAACTTAAACTAAGGTGAAAACAAAGATCAGGAGATAAAATACGAAAAATCTATGCTAGTTAATATCAAATATCCAAACACCGTCGAGAAAAGATGAATTATAAAACACGGCTGCATTACATACCTGTGCAACAAAAGGTCCTATACTGTTTTTCAGAGTCAGAATTTTCCCCAGAGATTTCTCAATGATCGACGGAAAGGCAAGCAGTCTGAGAGTGTGCCCAGTCGGTGCTGTATCAAATACTACAACACTAAAATCCATTGTGTTAACCAACCTACAAAGGGATGTAATCGCAAAACTAACAGTTAGAGGTGCACAAAACTCCTAATAATCCTTTCACTGCCACATTCAACCATCAGTTGTTGTGGCCCACTTATGTTTGTCTGACTGGATTCACTGGAGCCATTAAATTAACTAATGAGATTGCTCTATTTCTGGTCCAATATTCTCTAAATATTTGACCACATACTGTCCCGAATGATCGCACAAGATCACTCTTGAAGATTTTCTGGTAGTTTTATGGCTTACGTTTCTGAAAGAACTACTCTCGCGTAAAAGATTCCTTTTCTTTTTCCTTCCAACCCTCTTCTCCCTTCTGTTTTGTTCAACATCACACGTGAGTATATGTCTAGTCAGCTCCCAATCAGAAATGCGCATTTAAAGTTTGCCATGTTCTACCAGTCCGTGATCATGGTATTTTTTCCAAACATTTTAAGTCATGTAACAAATCTGTTATTAACCAAGCTTGCTCGGGACCGTATACTGGAAGAATATCGGCCATTGGTCTTTTTTGTACAGCCTCAGGCCTTCTTTCTCCAAGTACGACCATTGAACGATGAGCAGTTCTTTCATGTGGAGCTGTTTATTATGCTGTACAAGGTGGTTCTAACTTTTAAGTCTGTGGATGAAACCCTAGTGTGTGACCATTCAAATGAAAGCTATTGAGCAGTACTTTCATGTGGGACTGTTTATTATGCTGTACAAGGTGGTTCTAACTTTTAAGTCTGTGGATGAAACCCTAGTGTGTGACCATTCAAATGAAAGCTATTGAGCAGCACTTTCATGTGGTACTGTTTATTATGCTGTACAAGGTGGTTCTAACTTGTACGTCTCTGTATGAAACCATAGTGTACGTGCGTGACCATTCAAATGAGGGTTACTGGACAGTACATGTACTTTCTTGTGGTACTGTTAATTATGCTGTATCAGTGTGGGACCATTCAAATGTCATTACTTTTAAGTCTGTTTTAACCTAAAAAATAGGATTACAAATTTTGTAAGAATTGGTCTGTACATGGTATTTCATGAAAGCCTCAGAGTTTCCTCCACAGCTTTCTTGATTGAACGTGGGCAGGTTTTCTTGAATTGTGTGATGTTGCTCTTCAGTTCTACACAACTAAGAAGGACAACAATTCAACTCGAAAATGCACTGTACATTAAGTTGTCTATTCTGCACTCCAGTGTGTGATCACTTGTACTGCAAAGATTCTGCATACCTCATGACCTCAGCAAAACTCATGGCCTCATCAATACCAGGAAATGCTCCTAAAAGTTCCTTTACCATATTTTTACCCATAGACATTACATCTACAATGAAAAAAGTGAAAAAAATTATGAAAAGCATCAAACACAGTGACAATGATTCCATATTTTAAACTCTCAAATACTATTATCAACAAGTGGAATATTATAGTACATGTAAGTTAAACTGTATACTGAGCATGGATCCCTGAAAAGGGCTTCACTAACATCAATATCAAAATACAGAAAATAAATAAATAACAGAGATAACTAGAAAAAATATGTACAATAACAAGTACTGATGTTAATGAACAACTGTGTACAAATTAATTCATTAATTAAACGTTTCTTAAAAACTTTTAATTAGTGTCTGTTATTTGCTTCAAATCCTCATTAAGGTTGTTCCATATTTTTACACCACAATAAAATAAAAGGTGCACTGGGTGGCAGCAATTCTACTAGATGGAATATTGAAGATGCCTCTATGTCTTGTCCATCTGTTGTGGATGGTAGATGTCACATAAACTGTATGCAATTTCGACCAACACAAATTGAATAGTTTTGTCAAGGGTAATATAGAGCAAAGAATATAAAAATCTGGAGTTTATCTAACTATTGAATTCCATAATCTAGTAGGACTCAACAGCTCTACATGATAAAAACATAGATTAATATGAAAAATTTCATTGTCAAATGAAGGGCAGAACTGGTATGAGTAGTGCATATTTTTTTTCAGTGTTACCTGAGTGAGCGAGAATATGAGCACGCATGAAAATCAATGTACACAAGGAGAACATAAGGAAACAATGTGTGAATCTGAGTATAAACATACTTTCCTGGATTGCCATTTCAAAATGTTTATTGTAAAATAATGTCTTAATTCTACTGAACTTAACAGTTAAATTGTGATGTGACAAGACCTGCTTATTTGCACCAAGGTAGCACTTTCTTTAAATGATATTTTTTAATTCTATCGTACTGTGGTTTATTTTTCTACAGAATTCTACATTGCCCTGGTCTCAGTAATTTCTTCCTTTTTTCTTCTCCTAAAGCAAAAAAGCCACGATTGCGTTAGTCACAATTAGCAAAAATAAAACATGGTTTTCTTGCTCTTATTGATTTCTTGGCCAATCACTTTTCATTGTGGATCAAATTTGATTGAACGATAGAAAAGAAAAAATCTCTGGCCCAGGAAAATTTTACTAAAATTTATTTACAAAAATAATGATTCTTTTACTCAAAGAGTAATTTACCTGGCTCATCAAAAACATCTTCAGGAAGGTGGGAAAATCCAACATTAGGATCTATTTCCTATAAATAAAGAGCATTAGCAGTTGTACTGAGTCTTGTTGAGAGAATGTATTGTATATTAACTAGTAAAAATCTACTAGCACTGTAAGGCAAATCCAGATGTAGATAGTGAAAAGTCTAGCAGTGTGTGGTTGTTAACAAAAATGGCACCAAATTCTTTGCAATTTTGAAGTGTCTGTGAAGAGGATTTTGATAAAGTTTTCATCGACTAGTAGATTTATACTTAAACAATTAGATCATTTTCTCATGATTTCTATGCATGAAAACTTGGGCTGAGCCCTTGTCACCTATCATTTGATAGAAATTGAGAGCGAATAATCTAATCCCTAATTAGATTTTTAAGTCCATGATACCACTTCATACATTCATTTTGTGTCAACACTCTGCCATGGTGGCAAGGATTATGTGGCTTGATTACCCTTAGAGCTATGCAGACTGGGACTGCTCCTGGTTGGTTCAACCTCCCCTGATTGGCTGAAGGTTGAGTTAAGACAAAGAATGCCCCCTTCATCCAACTCCTGCAGGTAGTGGGCTGGGCACAGGGCTAATCATCCCATACTGTAAACAATAGCTGTCTGTAGAAACCTTAGGTTCTATTTCCCAGTTGGGGAATTAGGGATACTAATAATTGCCACATAATTACAGTGTATAAATGAGTTAAGTTAACATTCTTTTTAACTGAATAATACGAGATTTGTTATGGAAAATTTTCTTTTGAGACGAGCAAACTTTGAAATGTGTGTTGGAAAATTTCATGGATTGTGATGAAGACATTACTTGCTTAACTAGAAAGATATTGGATAAAAACAAAAATAATCTAAAAACCCAGAAATTTTGTCTGCGTTTCTTGTCTCACAGCATAATAGCATCTTTCTCAAAAAAGCTGTTATTTTTTCTTCAGATTTACCAAAAAAAGAGCCATTATTTACGCTTACCATTGCAAAAAGATTGTCACAACCGTTCACTTTTGTTGGAACATTACTAAATTTTTGAACAAAAGCATCCGATATGTTGTGGGCAGGATCTGTTGAAATTATCAATACCCTTTCTCTTGTTTTCGCAAGTTGGAGGGCAATACTGCAACTAAACATAAAATAATGCAATTCAGCTTTCATAAGTAAGATACACGTATGTACATGTACGACTCTTTCAGCAAATAAACTTAAGCTTAATATAGGTAGGTTATTCGTAAATGATTCTTGATCAATAAAGAATCTTAGATGAGTACATAGTTGAAAGCGACAAATACATAGGATTCCTTTATCCTTAAACTGAAGAAAATGAAAATCGTCTTTCAAAAAAACCTTCCTCGATTTCAAAATTGCCGATCAAAAAAAAAAATTGTCGACTGCCAGTCAAGCTAAAGCTTATACGTTATTTTGATGTCCATCGTTTTTATATCCTGATTGCCTACCTGCATGTTGTCTTTCCAACACCACCTTTTCCTCCGACAAAAATCCAGCGCAATGTTTCCTGATCAATGACATTTTGAATTGTAGGTTCTAGGGGTTCAAACTCCTCTTTGGCATCGGCGGCCGCCATCTTGAATGTTTCAAAATGATTGCGCGGTAGGAAGGACTAGGAGCTAGTATTTTGTCCGCTGAACAGAAAACTCGGGGCGCAAATATGATTTTCAAAATGGCGGACTAAGCGTGAGCGTAAAACGGAAAGGCGAGAAACTTATTTTGAGGCATAGACTTATTTATGCCATGTGTGGTATTTGTTGCTTCCTTTTCGTGGACAGTGGGAATTCAAGTACTCATTATCAGGTTTGAATTTTGCTTATAATTTCGGTAAATTTAAGCTTAAGTTAAGTAATTAAAAAGCTCCTTAATATAGCGGAATTGAACCCATGATCGCTGGCGAGATCTCTCAGATACCAGTTGGGTGGTCTTACCGCTGAACTATAGAGACACAAGGCGAACCAGGCTGTTTACTAGCCCTATTGCCATTATTTGATAATTGTATCAAAATAACCTATTGGGAACTGAACTCACATAACATTTTTATCAAATTAATCACAGACTATATCCGATTCTGTACTTCCTCATCTTCAAAGACGAGGTCCAGATCACATTGGGAAAAAGGATTTCTCCATAACAAATGATCACAGAAAGTTTTGCTTGAGTCTTGTTGGTACTGTACTTCATTTAAGAGGCAGCAAGACTCCCCAGCCTTTAGAAGATGAGTGTGGGAATATTCTGTTGTGGAATGGAGAAATATTTGGTGGTATAGAGGTACGTATGTTTGTTTGTGGAAGACAGAAATAAATTAGTTTTCAAGTAGGAAAATTCCATGTGAGTCAACAAAACTTCAAATTCATCAGCTTATTTCTTAGATGATGACTACAAATTGACCACAGATTGTCAAAATTCTGTTTACCAGGGGTTTCATTAATTAAGGGCTGGGCACCGGGCAAACTAACCGGCTGTGAAGATGATTTTGCCCGCCTGGTTTGACCATCTAGAGGAAAATTTTTCTCATAAATAATTTCAGTTCAAAGAGTTTTGCCCATCCATGAAACCCAGTTGCCCTCCTGTTGAAAAGTTAATGAATCCCCTGCTTTGTTCATACTACATGTATCATTACATCCACAGCTTGTGCTAGTTCTATTTTTCTATCAAGTTATAGAGATAGAGCTTTCCGCTCACTCTGTCTTACACGGTGTTTTATAAGTTATTATAATATAGATAGGACCATGTGTATGCTCTGATTGGTCAAAAACCCATGTTTTATCATAGTATAAAACATAGAAAAAGCGTGTTTTATTGTTTTTGCCACATAACCTCTATATCATAAAGCAAATGAAGAAGCCTAAGCCATGTATTACACTGTAATAAAACACCCCAGACATTTGAGAACACTCAAGAATGTAGAAAACACTCGCAGGCGACTCGTGTTTTCTACATTTCCCTCATGTTCTCAAATGCTAGTAGTGTTTTATCACAGTGTAATAAACGACCTAGGCTACTTTATTTGTTAAATGTAATAATGCATCCTTTCCAAAAGTCAAATGGAAAACCAACAAAAAGGTTGTAATTATTCTGTTGATGTAAATGTCACTCTGCAGGTGAAGGAGAATGAAAATGATTCTTTGATTTTGCTGAATAATTTGTCGAATCCTCTCTCAGAAGTGACACCTTCTCAACACATCATTTCAACAATGGCTAAGGTTCAAGGTCCTTGGGCATTTGTGTTTTGGCAGGTACTGGTAAAACAAACTCTATTACTTGACTATTGAAACTGTAGACAGTTGAATGAACATGTAGGGTACAGTTAGTGGCAATTAGAACTTGACAGTAAAGGTTTGTTCGAGAAATGGTGATTATTTTGCAGCTTTAACTGTGACGTTGTGTAAAATTGCTGTACAAATGTACAGTTCTTAATGATTATGTACAGTGGTCTTAAGGCTGCAAAACAACGGTAGAACAATGTGTTAACTTTTTTGTAAACATTTGCACACAGTGAGTACAATCGGTGACCCTCTATATACTTCATGGGGAATTTTGAAGTATACATGAGTACAGATGGTGCAGTGGGAGACCACACACCTCCCATGAATGTAGCCTGGGTTTGATCCCAGCCTAGTGACATGTGTTCAGAGTTGAGTTTGTTGTTTGTTCTTTTCCCTGCTCTGACGTTTTTTTTGCTGGGTACTCTTGTTTTTCTCGCTCCACAAAAAAAAAAAAACCTTTTCAAGCCTCCATTTTCGACCTGAAAAGAGGGCCCACATGAAAACCAGCCAAGGCTGATGTGGTTTTGTCTCCTCTCATGCAATTTAATTTTGATTGTTCTTTTATTTGCAAATAAGAAAGAAATTATATTCATATATTAATGGTCTTTAAGCTACATGTAGGCAGCATAACAAAAAAATGGTAAAAAATGGTTCTTGAGTATTAATGGTACTGTACCTATAGCTTATGATCAAACAATATTAATTTTAGGTCTGTCCAATCTTGATAAGGTTTTACCTCGTTTGTTATACAAATGCTTTTGATAGGTGAGTGAACAGAAACTGTGGTTTGGCAGAGATTATTTTGGACGTCGAAGCTTGTTGTGGCATGTTCCCACAAATCCAGGTGACGTTCTTGCTGTAACTTCTGTGACTGGGAGAAACTCTCCTGCCACTGATACAAATCTGGTGAGCAAGTTGTAATATTGTTAAGTACTAAATTGTAGTAACGTTCTACTTGTACCTTTTAAATTTTAAGAAATGATATACTCGTTTTTCTGCAATACGTCCTTCTGAGCATGCGCAGACTATTCGTTTCGTATTCTCAGCCAAACAGACTTTGGGCGTTGAATGGATTTTATTACCTAGCTCCACTTTGTAAGTAGGGCCTAGTACCCAGGGAGGCGTGGTGGCCTCATGGTTAGTGCGCTCATCTCCAGCTCGAGCGGTCCGGGTTCGAGCCCTGGCCGGGGACATTGTGTTGTGTTCTTGAGCAACACATTTTACTCTCACAGTGCCTCTCTCCACCCAGATGTATATATGGGTACCAGCGAATTTAATGCTGGAGGTAACCATCTGTAGCATCCCATCCAGGCACGTGTAGAAATACTCCTAGTCGCTTCACGCTGCAGAAACTGGGATAAGCTCCGGCCTGATGGGCCACTTGGCTCGTATGCAGACTTTACCTTATACATACCACTTTGTAAAGTACAAAATAAATGAGCAAAGCAAAGCAAAACACAATTATACTAAATTGGAAAATGTTTTCGCTGTAAGAAAGTACATTAACGTAACATTTAAAATAATTCTTCTGACCGCTTTCATAGATACCAATCGCGGTTCAAAATCTGGATTTCTAGAAAGCAAAACGGTGGATAATAATTAGATATAATTAATCTATTTTGAAAAGTTGTACTTTTGCATCCGTTATTCGTATTTTGAGATACGACAGTATGGCAAGACTCAGGAAGATATACGACGAACTGATACTACACTCTAAATTGTCCATTGAGTTTGTCTTCCTTGCGTGCGCTCCAACTGTCCCGCTTCGTAAATTTGATTGGCTAAACCAATGAAAAGAGCGCTAGTGCCAGTCCCATTGACCAGTGCATAGGGAGCAATATATTTCAAGCAACGCTATGTTTTTCCTTCCAGAATAGAAGAATAGGAGATTTTTTATGTAGCTGGGCGTTACGTTTTTTCTATTTAGCCATACCATCTATAGACTCTGTTCTTCCAATTTGAAGATATCCTCCATGTTGCAAAAAAAATAATGACTGAATACAACGGAGTTTGCTGTTGAATTCAATACGTTTTAATTAACTTCGATCTGTTTTTCCGTCTACCTGGTACAGTCTTCTAGTTTGTCGTTTACGGTCGAACAACTCACGTCAGTAAAGTCGTTGAAAGAATGAATTGTCTTTTTTATGTTTTGTTGTAGCATTTTGAAGAAGTTCCAGCCGATGGCTTGTACTGCGTTGAGTTTGGGACTCATACAACTGATCAAGTTTGTGATCAACCTTTCAGGATCAATAAATTCGAGTGGAAGATCTCCAACGAAGAGTTGGAAAACTCCACGTTGTTTCTGCCCTGCCCTGTGATGCCATTTAACAAACAAATGCCTACAGAACGAGATGTTCAAGTTATTGAAGAGAACAGGCGGCTTCTTGGCCTGCTAGCGAATGCATGCGATGAAAATGCCATAAAATTGGAAGAAAAGTCCTCCAAAGAAGGCAAAAAGTCGATCGGAAGTGAAAACACCGTGGGACCAGGTAGTGAAAAGCGTACTGTGGAAAATGGTATGTCAAATCTTGATACTGTTGAAAATGAAAATGTAATTGAGGCAAGTATTTCAGGACGCGACGGCGCAAATCTTAATTGTGATCCAAATCTCACCAAGCATGGAACAAGTCTTGAAGATTACATCTGTGGTTTGAATGTAAACGCAAAATGTTCTTCACCGAATCCAACGCCAGGAGTCCACACTAACGATAATTTTGAAGCAAGTCTTTCGAAAAGTCCGTCTTGTGACTCAATTAAATGTACTTCTCCGATGCGTAGGGTCGATTCGGTGCTCTATCAAGATTCTTGTCTGAAAACATCATGCAACGAATTAACAATGACTGCCGAACCTCATGAAGATACAAATATCTCCTCAACTGGGACGATCGCAGAAGGGTGCTCTCAATGCGATTTGCTTAGAAGTATGTGGAACTCATCTTATGAAGAATCAAGAGACAAGTTTATTGCAGTTCTTGGTAATGCAGTTCGGAAAAGAGTTTGGAATCTGCCAAGAACTAACAGCGATTCAGTTACTTCTAATTTTTCCTCGGGAATTACTTCCGAAGCAAATAGTTTTATATCTTCAGGAGTACAGCATAAGGATGCTCGAGTTGGTATTTTATTCTCAGGTGGCATTGATTCTATGATGATAGCGGCTTTGGCGGACAAGTAAGTTAATTGTGTGTACTTTGTTGCAGTTAAATTTTTCTAAGTTTTGTTATGAATGAACGAACGGACGAACAGGAACTTAGAAACGTACGTATGTACGAACAAACAAACGAGGGAACAAACGAAGGAACGAAGCTAAGAAAGGAACAAACGAAGGAACAAACGAAGGAACGAACGAACGTGCGAACGAAAGAACGTACGATTAACAAACGAAGGAACGTACGTACGAAAGAATGAACGAATAAACAAACGAAGGAACGAACAAACGTACGAACGAACAAACGAGGGAAAGGAGGAACGTATTTGCGAACAAAGGAAACCTGAACGTGCGAAGGAACGAAGGAACGAAAGAACGAACATACAAGTGAAGAAGTAAAACATAAAGGGATAGGGTGTCTGGAAAACTCGAATAGCGAATAACGAATAGTCGCGAATAGCGAATAGCGAATGGTACGAATAGTGCGAATAGTGGCGAACAGTCTGACGAACAGTTTGACGAACAAACGAACTAACAAACGGACGGACGAACGAACGAACAAACGAACGAACGAGCGAACGAACAAAGGAACAAACGAACAAACGAACAAACGAACAGACGAACAGACGAACAGACGAACAGACAAACAGACGAACAGACGAACAAATGAATTTAAGGTGGCTCAAAACAGTTTCCAGCCGTTAGATTTTGATGGGTCGTTTACAACCACTCTTTATCACTTGATGCAACAATCATAGTATCAAAAAACTGCCCAATCCTTGGTAAACAGGTTGTTATCATTTTCGTGATGCAATAGGTTACCATAGCAACAGTATGACCTGCAAGAAACACCCTTAATTACAGCTTTAGGGGCTTATAATTTAAAAACGGCACGGTGAAATTTTTTTATATTATCAAAGTTTAATAAACATAAGACGCAACTTTTGGCAAAGTTTTAAAAAATTCTGTACATAGGGTTCAGAGCCACCTTAAAGTTTTGAAATGTACAGAATTTTTTAAAACTTTGCCAAAAGTTGCGTCTTATGTTTATTAAAATTTGATAATATAAAAAAATTTCACCGTGCCGTTTTTAAATTATAAGCCCCTAAAGCTGTAATTAAGGGTGTTTTTAGCAGGTCATACTGTTGCTATGGTAACCTATTGCGTCACGAAAATGATAACAACGTGTTCACCAATGATTGGGCAGTTTTCTGATAACATGATTGTAGCATCAAGTGTGAAAGAGTGGTTGTAACGACCCTTCAAAATCTAAGTGCTAGAAACTGTTTTGAGCCATCTTAAGGGCGAACGAACGAAAAAGTGTGATCGACTGTAGGACTCTAACTTAGCTGGGCTTATGATGTTGTTGTAACCATGCACATTTTAGATTTGTACCTACGGAAGAAGCCATAGATCTCATAAATGTCGCATTTGAGCAAAAAACCCCATCTAGCCATCGTCAAAGCAAGAATACAAAGAAAGGAAAGACGAGAAAGAATGTAACACCAACAAAACCCGCAAGAAACTTCCGTGTTCCGGACAGAATAACAGGAATATCAGGCTTGGAGGAATTACAGTGCATTAACCCGTTACGACAATGGAATTTTATTGAGGTAATGGTCTAGGAGTGTTTTCACATGACGTCACGGCAGCCATATTAGTGTCCCAAAACAATGAATCGGCGGCCATGTTGTTGTACCAAACCAATCCTGTGGGAGTTGAACTCTTTTCTTATCTAAACACTTTCATTTGCCAGTAACTTTGCATGGCTGCTGGCCCCGTGAGTGAAAACGCGCTATAGGTTAATTAGTTTCTTTTGTTACTCAAAATACATTTACCTACAGTACAGCTCTTTTTATATCCTCCGTGTTCCTTACTTTAAGGTTGATGTGACCCTGGAAGAGCTTCAGGAAATGAGGTATGAATTGTATCGATGGCTAGTCTCGGCTCCAGTTAAGTTACTGGGAAAGTCCTAAGCTGTGAAGATCAGCTATAGACCCTATTCATAAATGGCTGCCAGTTAAAAATTCTTTTGTACGTATTAAAATTAGCCCAGTTAACCTCGTGTTTGAGTTGACAATTCAAAAGAATTTTTAATCTCAAACGAGGTTAGTTGGGCTAATTTAAATGCATACAAAAGAATTTTAAATTGGCAGCCATTTATGAAAAGGGTCTATTGAATCGCTCAATCGTTACCTACCCTACAGACGGCTTCAGAACTCGACGAGTGAGTACCTTCTTAGAACTCTCTTTGATTTTAATCTTTTCAATCAAGAATGAGTATGAACCGGTCCCGGTTGTAAGGTGAAAAACACTTCTACACCACCATATACAGAAGGAATAATCTACTTGCTGCTTGCTACTTGGTCCTTAAGTGCTTCTCTTTTCCATTGGTCCCAGGTCTCGCCATATCAGTCACTTGGTGTCCCCCCTGAACACCGTTTTAGATGACAGTATTGGCTGTGCTTTATGGTTTGCTGCCCGGGGGATAGGACGTCTACGCTCCTTCTCCGTTAGCAGTAGTCTGAGCAAAAATAGCGAAGGAGATACTGAAGAGAAGAAATACACGAGTAAAGCGAAGGTAAAATACTGGAGTTCTTTGTCGCTTGAAAATGAAAATGTGGAGTGGGACTTGGGAACGTAAGCTTTTCACTCACCCAATGCCCTCATGTAAACTTTCGCCTAATGACGTCAAACGCCTTTGAATTAGTTGACGTCACGTCATTTGAACTATCACCCAATGACGTCACAAGCAAAAGTCGCACATTGACGTCACGTGACATTAAAGCCATAATGACGTCACGTGAAACAATCATGATCGCTTGATAACGTCCCTAAAGAACTCAAGCACCAGAAACTCATACGATATTGTCACGTGAAATAATGCACAGAGGGGAGTCTCGGTGGAGAGAAAATACTCGCCTCAGTCTCGTTTCCTTTGTACCTTCTCAGAGTTGTCTCATAATGACACAAGGACTTTTCACTCTCCTTCAAGCTGGTTAACTCTATGATTCCCTTTTCCTCTAACAGGTTTTACTGGTTGGCATGGGAGCGGACGAGCAGTTAGGAGGATATGCCAGGCACCGAACTTGCTTCGAGTAATTGAGTTTTTTTTGCTGTGTTTTTAGTTTTTGCCGTTCCCAAATTCACAATTAGCCAATCAGAAGCCGTGTCTACTGTCCTGATATCTTGCGATATCAAGTCACTGACCTCATATGGCTAGGATGTCATGGTCACTTGGCCAAATTTGGGTACAGTGAATACCTAATCGTACCCTTGGTCTCACCATGAGTATTTTGGTGAATACGAACTATGGCTCGACCAAACTCGCCTGATATGCCGCAGAAGCGTACCTTTAAAGTACGATTAGGTATAAAAATCAGCTATTTTGTACATCGCGGTGTGTGTGTGTGTGTGTGTGTGTGTGACTTAGCCCTTCTGTGGACATTACCTCTTCCTTCAGATATGCGAGATGACAAGGGAAAAGAAAATTTCCAGCTTATAATACTTGATTATCGATATTTTTTCAGTAATGAAGGTTGGTCAGGTTTAATGGACGAGATAGACATGGAAGTGAAGCGAATATCTAAACGGAATCTTGGCCGAGATGACAGGTATGCTCTCTTTTTGTTCATTCATGTGTACTGCAAGTTGAGCATAGTCAAGGTTGAGCAAAATATCGTGATTTGTCATTGGCGAGCAGATAATTCATCTGCGAGACACTGACAAATCATCTTATCATTCGATGCATTTTTTCTTCCTTTCCATTGGTCGAGAGTCCACCACGTGACCTGCCTAATAATTGCCTACAGATAATGGTCTACTCGTTTGTAATACCGTCTAAATGTGTCTTGTGCAAATAATATTCTACTCATGTGTAATTTTAACCATGATCTCTGGTGAAAAATGGCAGATTGCTCCCCTGAGCTGTCCTGAAGAAAGTGATTTTAATAAGAAAACAAACTTGGTGATCTAATGATAAAATAATTATTGTATTCGGTTATCGCGAAGTAACGTGATTTGTCAGTGTCTGCTCGCCATTTACAAATCATGATTTTTGCTTAAACTTTTCCAATAATTGTTGATTCTTCACCTCGACCAAAGTTACAGTACGACATATGCAAGAGAAGCCTTTTTAAATGAACCTCGGTATAGCGAAATCCCCGTTATAACGAACAACTCTGGTTCGTCATTTGATTGGCTATTTGATTGGTTTCCAGGTGTATATCAGATCACGGCCGAGAGGCGCGGTTTCCTTTCCTTGATGAAGAGGTTGTCTCGTTTTTAAACTCTCTCCCAGTATGGCTGAAGGTGAGTGACCTAATAAAATATAAAATCTAATATAAATATAATATGCCCCTTGATGGTTAATGTGCCGTTGCTCGACATCTTGCCATGTATTCAAATCGAGGAGACCCCCTTTCTCTCAGTCCCCCACCCCTCGTCTTTCCCTGTCGCAACTCGGTAAGAGACGAAATCCTTGAAATCCGTCGCTCTTGCTGACGGAAAATCGCGATAGGTGAACCAGTTTTCAAAATACACAAAATACACTGCCATCGAATGAGACAATTATCGTTGCTAGGTTTTCTAGAAGCCGACCTTCGAGTAGCGGCGCGCGCACACTACTTCACGTCATGCAATACGTCTATTACGTCATGTGCAAACTTGCCAGAGAATATAAAACAAGTGACCATGGCTAACGCTACTCGCAGAGCTTCTCTTCTGGTACAACTGATGATTTTTCACGTGAAGCTTAACATACTACAAAAAGCTGGTAAATGGATTCGATCCCATACCCAACGAAAAACTGAAGTCCAAAAACTGCTAAAGAAATCTTTCGTCAAAGATGATGACTTCTTTGACATCGGCACCGATGCAGTTGAAGAACAAACCACTGATTTTGACCGATACGATAAGAGTAAAGAGGATAATAGTTCTTACCTCTCAAAAGGACCTGTTGGGAAATCATTTTGTGGAAAGAAAAACAAACTGAAATTTAAGAGGAACGCGGTAACGCCAAGCGAAAGACATGCATGGAGTGAACACAGCGAAGGGAAAGGCAAAAAACGACACTCCCGCACCCTAAGGCTGTCTGGATCTCGATCAACGAAAGCTTCAAATATAAAAAGCGATTTCGATAAACCATATCACAAAAATGCAGATGTTCGAAAGCCAAACGACCTCGATCTTTCCCGTCATAGTGCCGTTTAAAATGATTGACAAAACGAAAAAAAAAATCCTTGAGACATGGTGAGTGGCAGGTTCAAGTTCTGGAACGGAACAAGGTAGAAGAGTGACTGATCTTGAAAGTCCTACATTCTAATACATGTACAACAGACGGCGTGGAGTGATCTTGAATTCACGGCAAGGTGGCGAAGGCAGCTTTATGTATGCTATTAAATTAAAGCTACTTCTTGCTGTAGCTGGCAAACTTTACAGTCATTTCAAAGCTAACAATTCACATAATGGAGTTGAAAGCAAATGAAACAGGCAGCCAAGAAGGAAAAAAAAAACATTGAAGATATAGAGAAGAAACCGGAAAATGGACCAGAGAGGGCATCTTAGTTCGGAAGGAATTAATATTTAGCAGATGTTACATGGTCTAGGGGAAAGGCCAGGACAGAAATATATATTTTTCGGTCTTGAATGTCAAGGCACAAATCAGAAATCATACGACGGTTAAATCAAAGGTTTTAAAATACAGCTGGCTCTTATAATGATATGTTGTTTACAAGAACGAGTTCCGATTGCCAAAAAGCACATTTGTAACTCTTTGGCCAAAGAACACCCCAGCGTAAACCAAACGCGAAGGTACACAGTTGCGTCCTCCTACAGTATCTGATTCAATGAAATGTTCAACGAAGTTCTACTTAGTGTGCCACCTTGTTTAGTGCCATTAAATGTAATGATTTCACCCCAGTCGTAGCAAAATCAAGCTGATCATGGTCGAGTATTGCCTGAATTCAAACCGAAAAGGACTTAGTGCGAGTCTGTAAATTATGGGATTAGCAACTATTGATCCACATAGTCATAAAGTGCACACCAAACTTTACAAAATCGCCAAGTTTGGTGTAAATAGACCCAATAGTAAGCAAGATACAGCCATTTGAAAACGTCAAGTCGGGATGACCAAACATTTCTTTGTTAATTTTGACGTTTTTAAATGGCTGTATCTCAGTGAAAACTAGCCTGATTAACACCAAACTTGGGGATTTCGTGAATCTCGGTGTGCTCTTTCTGACTATGTGGATCAACAGCTGCTTATCCCATAATTTACAGACTCGTACCTTATCCTTTTCGGCCTCAAATCAGGCAATAGGTTAATGGTTTCAGTGTCCCAGCGGCAGCCCCCCCCCCCCCCCCCCCCTCGCACCCAAAGATTCACAGAGTACACCGAAGCCTCTTTCCAGTTAGGTGTATAAACAGATAGCGGCGAATTAACTTCGTCACGGTTTGCGCATCTTGAAAAGTTTAGCCTAAGTGTTTCAAATTCGTCGTGTGTAATCCGTGTCAATCTTCTCCATCCTTAAGCATACTCGTTTCTTTATGGTTTATTATTATCTCTCTGATGTTTTTCTATCTTAGTGAACTATTATTTTCAGGTTTCCCTACGTGGCCAAAATAACTCAAAATGCCGTGACTGAGCTCCTTTAAAGGCTAGGGTTGACCCTGCATTGGAATAGTCACCTCATGCCCCCAAACCGGAGATAAATCTGGCCTGATGTCTCACTTGACTCGAACACAAATTTACCTTTCATATTTGTCAAAGCGTTGTTGCTATGGATTTATATCAAGACCTCGAGAAGTTCAAGAACATATCAAACAGCAAGGGTTACGACATCTTAGAAAACTTGCACTGGTTACTCCTTCCCCCATGTCAGCTTTGCAAAATGCCGTCTTATTGCAACAAGATACAAGGGAACTTGAGTTTAAAACACTGTGACTGTACGGAGAGGAAGTGAAGGCAATTTGTACTTATATCGACGGAGGCCTCAGGTCGTAGCATATCCAACAATACTGGTCTGAATTTGAATAAATTAACGTTAAGTCAGCGTTCGACAGGCCGGCGCTTGTCTCCAGTTTTCAGTGGCATGAAGCGACTAGGAGTATTTTTACTCCCCCCTGGATGGGTTGCTAGTTCCCACCCAACACTACATTTAACATTACTCATGTGAGAGTATGGTGTTTTAACCACAAACACAACGCAGTGACCCCGGACACGACTTGAGCTCTGAGCCCTGAATCTGTAGTGCACTAACCACTTGGCAACCGCGCCTTCCCCCAATAGCGTTTCACAAATGATAGAAGCCAATAGGCCATTCCCGAGTTGCCTTTTGCCTCTGTTTCAAAACGAGTCTTTTCGCGAAACCAATTATACGAAAATTTGTACCGCCTTCAGGTTCATTTTCACGCAAATCTAACTCATTTTCCTACGAAAGGTTTTGCGCGACTCGTTTTGAAACAGAGGCACAAGGTAACTCGGAAATGGCCTTTTGTGACGTTGAGATGACCAAGACTTGGGTAAAGATGTGGCTAAATTATTAGGCTTAGATTCCTTAGAAATGTCAGACTCACTGTGATGTGGAATGCCTTTGAGCAAAACAATTGTCATTTGTACTCTTACATGTTTGTACCATAGTTCAAAAGGACATTCCAATTCACATTTTATTTATTTTATCCTGATTACATTTCTTTATTTAAATTATTATATGGCTGTGTCTCACAAGGACTGGGAACTACCGAATTCACGAATTTGATTGGCTGAAATCGATATTGAAAGCGATTAAGTTTTATCTAGACCGGTAATGTTTTGCGGTGAAAAAAGTTGACTTTTTTCTTCTAACAATATTTTTGTATTGAAGTGCCAAAAAGCCTGATGAGAAAAAAAGTATAGAGGACGAGCAAACTTTGGCAGAATTAAGCCCAGCTCATCGCCGTGCGCAAGCAAAATGCCAGTTAACTACAAACCAGTCACATTAAACGAATTAAACTCTACTTGTTTGTCATATAACCATGTTGTTAACCGATCTCAGTCGGTCTGTAAGGGAGAATCATGACCTCGGTCGTTTGTACAGACCTCACTGCGTTCGGTCTGTACTCACGACCTCGGTCAAGATTCTCCCATAACAAACCTCTTGCTCGGTTAATAAGAGCTAAATATTGACCAATACAAACACCTTGAATTTACAGACAGACCCAGGACTTCCGCGAGGGATTGGGGAGAAACAGTTGCTGCGCCAAGCGGCGCGGTTGCTTGGCTTAACGTCATCAGCGCAGCTACCCAAACGAGCAATCCAGTTTGGATCTCGCATTGCCAAACTGGAGAGTACTGGAGAGAAAGGCTCTGAGACTTGTTCAAGGCTTGAATTCTAAATGGTCTGTCCAATAAACGTATTTATTAGTACTGCATTTCAGTGCTTGTATGACTTATAATTATTTTTAGAGCCTTTATCTGGCTAATCTACCTGACAACATCGTGACAACCAGTCGTCAAATCCAAGACAGAAATTTGCCCAACGATAAAGAGATATTAGAACCCGTGTCATGCGTGTGATCTCGAAATAGTTTCTGGCTTCCCTTTGCCCCTCATGAAGCGTAGGGCTTGTACCATAGCTTGTACCATAGCTTGCAATCAGTTTGGCCTCATCCTATGTCTTTCTGATGCTCTTCAACATCGTTTTACCAAGCTGCCATGTTAAATTACACTGCCCCTGCAGTTGAGAAGCGCTTGACAACCAAGCATCCTATGGCAGCCGCAGTCAGTCGCAAACCGATATTTAAGATCATTGTTTTCTTCTGGGGATTTGTGTCCCATGGGTGAAGTTTTCCATTCATTGGTTGGTCATGTTGAGACACGCAAACATTGAGAATGACGACCAGATGACCTGTTCATATGTCGTTTGCGTTTGTGTTATCTTTAATCTCGAACTGCGAGTTTCGCTGCTTCCTACGTCACAACCCACGGCGATCTACAAAGCTTTTTCGAAAACTTAGAGCAGCTGAACGAATCAAAGATGAGACAGAAAGTGCTTCAAACAAAGAAGAACTTAATCAATTTGTGGATGGAAACGGTTAATCAACGAAGTTAGGCACTCCAGCAGGGCCGTAGGTAGCATGAGCCAAGACGAGGCAATTGCCTCGTCTTGATTTTGGCCTTTTGTTTTTTTTGTTTTTTTTTCAAAGGAATGTTCAATTGAGAAAAAATTGGATTGGTTACGATAAAACCAGCTAATATAAGGATGAATTAAGGGGAAAAACATTTTAATGAGGTTAATTCGTTTCATGTGAACTGTGATTAGCGGTTTTTCAAATGACTTAAGGTTACAGAGGGGCCATTAAGGAGACGTATGGTGACATAACCGTGACGGATCCGTGACATCAAAGGTCACCTTTATTTCCCGTGTCTTACGTGCGATGCTAAGAGCCGGTGTGGGAGCTTTCTTATATAACTGTCGTAAAGGAACAAAAGGTCGTTTGCTGGCAATCAATTTATTGCAAACACTATAGCGTACATTCATAAACCAACGGAGATTGCCAGCAGCTTTGTGTTAAAGAGATGGGATGCTTCTAGCCACAGACGGATTGCGTTAGCTTTCAGTAAAGAATAAACGACGGGCAAAAAATCTTTCACTTTTCTAACTGTTAAGGGAGAAGTTTACTACTCTTAATCGTGAAAGTTAGTGACTTCTTAGTCCTACAAGAATAAGAGATGGCAATATTATGACATGGCTGTCTCAAAGTTGAAGAAGAGTGTATCGAAACAGATAATTGATAAGTGAGCGTGATTCTGAATATTATCTAAGAACTAACTTCAAAAAAGTGTTACTTAAGACCTCTCCTAATTATCAACAGTATGAAATCCATAAACGCTGGCTACTCTCTTGGATTCACTTTATTGTTATAATACGTCTTACAACATTTGAATGCTTTAAAATGCAGATGGTCATTGACTTGGTTCCAGTATCGCTCAGCAATAAAAAAGTGAACTTCTACACTTACCCAAGATTGACTTTTGTGAAGAATAATGCCACGGGAAATGCTTAAAAGAGCATTTCTGAGCCTCTAGATTTCAAAATTTTCTGGGGGGGAAAGGGGGGCATGCCCCCAGACCCCCCAAGCGGCTCGCGCCATCGGCGCTAGAAACTTGCCTCGTCTTGTTCTGAAGTCTGGCTACGGCCCTGTCCAGGGTGGTTTTTAGAGGGCATTTTAATTCTGAATCGATCCAATGAGCATTATAACTGGTCTCGTCCCGTGGACTATCCTTAGTTGTAAAATGTATTTAACAAATAGATTCCATGTTGCCGTGCGTCTGTTCAGTAATAGATTACAGATGACGTCAAAATGTGATAACAAAAAAAGTGGCACGCGAGGCGATAGCCGAGCGTGTCGCTGATGTTCTTACTACATTTTGACGTCCTCTGTGATCTATTACCGAACAGACGCACGGCAACATGGAATCTATTTGTTTTATAGAATAAAGAAACAAAAAAAGAATACTAATGACTTCATCTATGGATCTATCGTCCAGTAGATTATAAGTAAGAACCAATCAAAATGCGAGAATAATTTGACTTAATGTAATTATATAATTACTGTACTGGTAGCTAGTTCATGAAGTAGTTCTTTTTATCCTAAAGTGGGGTGTCCACACAGTAAACATTGTATCTAAACTAGTTTTCCTCCCTCTTCTCCTTTATATCTTTTTTCTCATCTGTTTGAAACCACAAAACTGTAAATTATTATTTGATTTTTGTCATAAATACTATTTATCATACTTTATGCGCAATTTAAATTGTTAATTATCTCTTAACTTATTTCTGTGAGTTGAATAAAATTGTCTTGACGCGACTGTTTGACCAAGAAAACTGGTGGTGAGAATAAAGAACTCCATCAATTAAGAGATGTCTTGATGTATTGTCAAATTCTCAAAAGCAACCGTAAAAGAAAGACATGACGCTCAGCTGAGAGAATCTATATTTTGAACTCGACTCTGAAAGAATTTTCGTGAACACTACTTTATCGTTTTGCAGACTTTTTTTTGTAGAAACCAAGCCCCGTGCACACTACGCCGGAGGAATTTGAAAACGGAGGCTTTACTCTGACAACGCATCAAATGTTTTCCGTCCACACTACGCCGGAGGAATTTAAACACCGGTCATTTTGGATTTGCCTCTGAGGAAAACTCGGTCAAGGAAATCCCGTGATTGTCCTGATGCGATCGTTTTCGAAAAGCTTCGTTTTCAAAATCTTTTCCGTCCACACGACAACAAAACGACGGCGTTTTCAAATTCCTCTGGTTTGAAAACTGTTTTCGAAAACCTCCGTTTTTGTGACGGATTAGTGTGGACGGTAGGCCTAACCGTAGAAATAAAGCTGCGTTTTCAAATTTCTCCGGTTTGAAGAGCGTTTTCGTGCCGGATTAGTGTGGACGGTAGGCCTAACCTTAGAAATGAAGCTGCGTTTTCAAATTCCTCCGTCGTAATGTGGACGCTGGTTCGGAACTATTTTTGTTGTCGATATCATATCAGATCATGCTGTTTTCGTAATTTATTTTTCTGCCCTTAGTGGTAGATATCCAAATATTCTCATCATTAATATTGATAACAGTATAAGTTAAACTACCTGCTTAACAAATTAAACAGACCTGTCAAAAAGTGCGGAGTTTTTTGACAGTTTGACTCAATTATGCACAAAGCAGGATTTTTAAAGCAAATTCGAGACGAAGCAATTACAACAGACTTTTCCAAGTAAGCGACAATGTTTTAATTTACTGTATTTATGTAAAGACAGTGTCTAATTATAAGATTTGCTTGTTGATTGTTAGGGCGATACCAAAACAACGCAAAAATTTCGATTTTTTTCCCGATTTGAACAAGTTTAATAACGCTCTTACTTTTAAATTCTTAGACGCTCGTTGATTTAGGCCCAAAGAAGGCAGACTCTGGGAAAATTTCTCTAAGAATTAGATCTTTTGTATACAACTTTTGATTCGCATGAAAATAGTCCAAATAGCGTTTAAATCTTATAGAGATAAAGTAAGCTATTCAATAAGCAATTTCAATGTACTGTTTTTCAGTACCGAATGATATAACGTTATTTTATCGAATTTTACCAATACAAATTGTGTTGTAGAAAATTATATCTTCATAAACTTGTTGGTAAAAAGTAGCCCCAGCCATGAATTATTAATTGACAGCCCGCTGAAAATGTTGGAAATAAACCCTCAGAAATTCAACAACGGTGAAGAAAAATTGAGTAAATTAGAGTCGTAAAACGATATCGTCTATATGGTAGGAAAGTACTGTACGGCATCGCTCCGTCGTAACGTTTTTTAGTGGACTTCGATGATAGATGTCTAACTGTTTCGGCATTTGTTGAACTAAATGCTAAAAACTGCAGTTAGAGCGGGTTAATAATTCTTTTACCAGGTGACAAAGGAGTGATTTTTTTCAATTATTATAACAACTCCCAAAATAAAACCCAAAAATGAAAACAAGGTGCTTTACCTAATACCTAACTTATGATATAGTAACGTTACGGGTGTGAAGGAAGCTGAAATGATATAGGGTAATATTCTTGAGGTAATCCTTATTTCCTCGGTTAACTTACATGTTAGGTTAAATTTGGGGAGAAAACAATATCGGAGAAGTGTTTTGTTGAGCATTTTGTATTAAAGTAAACCGAACTACTTATACTTTTTGCATCTCGACCAATACAGTTGCGAAAAGCGACTGTGAAAGTGATAACTTTGCAAACTGGATAAGATAGATATTTTTTCGTTTTTTAAAGGATTAGTTAAATTGATGGGATATTTCGGACAACTTTTGTAGACTTTAGGTTTGTTTTTTACTCTGTTATCTAACAATTCAAAATTTTCCTCAATATTTACCAATAATACAAAAGAAAAGTTTAAAACTCTAGCCTCAATTTAGAATTTCAATGTCTTGTTTGTTTATTAGTTGTGGTAATCTTATTTTTAATGAAAGGAACGGGGCTTTTTCCTTTTTTTCTCAAGTGTATGGCTAATTTTGTTTACTTCATGTCTAATGTTGTTTAACTAACGCTGACAGATCTGTAGATATGGGATAACGAGCAAGCTTTTATAGGGTGTGGTTAGAATTGGTGAGAGTGTTTGATTTGTTATGAATATTTTGGCAGGTAATTTGCAAATGGTTCTTCAAAACTCATTGCTATTGACGAAGTGTATCTTGGCCTGGATTTTACTGAATCGCAGACGTTTGAATCCATTGTCTCAAGGGAGAAGAAAGAACCTTGTCCTTTCTTTCTTTGGTGTTACACTTCGTCTTGCGAGGACTAGTCTTAATGTTTTATCCCTTTGTGCAAAGCCCTTATTCCTTTGTTCAAAGCCCTTTGTCAGTTATGGCTTAATTTGCTTGTTTCTTTAAACA